GGGCTTCCCCTAGAGCAGAAACTGACAACACTCCAACAGTGGACATATGCCAAACTTGGACTTAGGATGCCATCTAGGGGTGAAACAGCACCAGTAACCACAGACCCTGGGAAAAGCAGTCTGCTTAGAATTCCTTCCTGGAATGACAGGCACACACACCCAAAAGGCAGATTACCCAAACTGGATACCTAATCCTTGAGTGTGCAGATGTCAAGGATGCCAACAGACATCACAACTCTCAGAGACCCTTGAACTCCCCCAAGGGACAAAATAAGATACCAGAGACCGAGCAATCAGTGCATATGAATTCTCAAATGCAGAATTTAAAATGTTTTGGAAAACACAAGGAAATTAAGAAAAATACAGAGAAACAACTCAGTTCTTTAACAAAGAAATTTAGAGAAACTGAAGTAAGTTATAAAAAAGCAAACAAAAGTCTTTGAGTTGAAAAGTATGGTAAATGAGATAAAAATGTGATAGAAGGCATCCACAGAAAAATACATCAAAAAGAAAAAGAATCAGGCCAGGAGAGATTGGCATAAGATTTTCACAGTACTGAAGGAAAGAAAAAAAAAACTCACAAAAATACAAAGACACAAAATAAAAACTCCTGCCAACAAAGAATCTGCCCTTAAGAAACAAAAGAAGAGGCTGGGGATGTAGGTTAGTAATAAAGTGCTTGCCTAGTGCCATAATCCCTTAACCTCCCAAAAGGAATAAGGAGACATTAAGCCACTCTCCAGTACACAAAAACTATAAGAATGAATCTCCATCAGTCCCATCCCATTAGAAATGATAAAAAAGAATTCTTCAAACTGAAAGAATGAGATAGTAGTAACTTAGAAGAAAACACAGGAAGGTACAGAATTCATAATTAAGAGTAACAAGGCAAATTCAGTATATTCTAATATGAACATGGTAAATACACCATTCACATCTTTAGTATGATGAGTAAAAAAACAGTAACTGTGTTAATATGTTCAGCAACAGGCAATATAAAAAACTAAAATAGGACATCAAAAATTCAAACGGTAGGGAGTAATGGAGTATAAGGCTACAATATTTTTAGTGGGGTTTTTTTGGGCTATCTTTACCTGTCTTTGATCAATTTTAAGTTGCTAGCATTTCAAAATAGCTTGTTATAATCTAAAGATTTTTATAATGCCTCATGGTAACTACAAAACAAAAATATATAATAGACACAATGAAAATAATAAAGGAATCAAAACATTGCTAGAAAAATATCACTTAAACTCTAAAAATGACTATAGGAGAGGGGGAAAGAAAAAAATGACCACAAAGGAAAAAAAACACAAACTAGAAAACAAGTCATATAACAGCTATATTAAGATCTTATTTTTCAGTAATTATCTTAAATATAAATAAATTCTCCAATTAAAAGACAAATAAAAAGAGACAGAGGGGACATTCTATAATGACAAAGGGATCAGCTGAACAAGAGGAAATAACAACTGTCAATAATGTGCACCCACTAGCAAAACATCTGAATGGATAAAGCAGCTATTAACAGACCTACAGGGAGGGAGAGATCCAATACAATAGTAGAGCACTTTACTGCCCCATGTTCAGCAATGAACACATCATTCAGACAAAATCACACAGAATCAGCAGAGTTAACCTGTATGTCAGACCAAATGGATCTAAAAGACGTCTACAGAACACTCTCTCCAACAGCTGGAGAAAACATGTTTTTCTGAATAGCACATGAAACATTATCCAGGATAGGTTATATGGTAGGTCCCCAAATAAATCTTTACAGATTGAAAGTATATTTGGTATCTTTTCCAACCACAACGTAATAAAACTAGAAATCAGTAACAAGTAAATTTAAAAAACTATGTAAGTACACAGATATTAACCAACAGATTAAGGAGGAAAATTTAAAAAGTCTTGAAACAAATGAAAATGGAAACAACAAAACCTATGTAATACAGCAAAGCAGTACTATGAGGGAAGTTTACTGTAACTGACACCTACACCAAAAAGCAGAAATATCTCACAAGCAAGGAGAAAAACAAGAACACCCCAAACTCCAAATTAGTAGAAGGAAAGAAATAATAAAAATCAGAGCAGAAATAAATGACATAGCTCAAGTTAAGATTCACTGATTAGTGAGCAACAACAGATGAAAAGAGAGCATGGTGACATCCTAAGTCCTTACCTATGTAGTAATGATCACAAAACTACCTGTTAGTCCTCAATACATCAGAAGTTGTCATGAATGTATTAACTTTTCTCAGCAAAAGAGCTGAACTGTAACTAGCTTCTTCTTTGCTTTTAATCATTATTCAATTCACAGTATCCTTTCTTGTGTGGTTTTCCCCAGTGTATTTTCTCAGAAAGTTTTTGTGGATATTTATATGTGGAATGCTATTTGGCCACTTATTTCATAAGTCAGAGCTAAGTATTAAAGTCTAAGAACAATTTTGCTCTCAGTATTTACAGATCAGCTAACAACAGAGAGGAAGACTTTTAAGATCAGCTATCTCTAGCTATGCAATGTAAGGTTACAACAGTTCTAACTTTTAACTCTAGTGTAGTTAAGAAATGATGCCCTAGGAATCCACAATACAGTATTTAAGAGAATGATGAAGCAACACTGTCAAAGAATAATTAAAAATAAATACAAGGTTTTTCAGTGCTCTCTTTACTCAAATCTTCCTCATTTCTTCATTGCATGAAGAAGCCACTTTTCATTAACAGCCTAACCTTGCTGAACTTTTATGTATCCATTTAAAGATAAGCGTATTTCTCCCTTATACCTTTGCTTTTTCTTTTTGGCACTGGGGACGTCACCCAAGCTACTTTCCCAGCCATTTTTATTTACTTTTATTTTGAGACAGGATCTCGCTAAGTTGCCAAAGCTGACCTGGAATAGGAGATCCTCTGGTCTCAGCCTCCAGAGCAGCTCGGACAGGTGTCCACCACCACTCCCTGCTTGTTATGGTTTTTGTCTTTCAACTTCTATTGACCTAGTAGACAATTCTGAAGTTTTTAACCCTTACCTCTCCTCAGCTTTAGACTCAGATGTCTATCTGTTCAGTGAACATCTCTGCCATAGATGTCTCTAACATGTCTCAGCTAAATTCTTCACTTTTTCATATTTTTCTCTTTTTGTTCCTGACAGTAGATTCCAACAAACATGGATTTCATGGTCCCTGTCCACACGTTTTTTTTCCCTTCAGTACTGGGGACTGAACCCAGGGCCTTTGCACTGAATTACACCTCACCCCTTTTGATATTTTATTTAGAGGCAAGTTCTTGTGAAGTCACTGAGTTGCATGGGCTGGGCTTGAACTTGTACTTCTCCTGTCTCAGCCTACCAAAGTGCTGGGATTTAGAGGTGAGTGCCATCACATCCAGCAATTTTATGGCATCTTATTTTCTCTGTCATTACCCATATCCAAACACTATATCATATTCATTCTCCTGTGATAGGTCTTTTCTGTCCTTTCCCTTTACTTCATTCTTGCCATAGTATCTCTGCCCTAACTGAGGGTTTCTTTGCTTGTCTTGCCTACGATGGCAGGCTGCTGGTTTCATCTTTAGAGTCTAGTTTTAGTACCTCCCACAAAATAATGTTAATTTCTTTATAGAGTTCTGATTATAACCTACCCACCTCAAACACTTGCAATGATTCCCACCTCCAGCTATATTTAACAAAGCTTTAAAATTTTCATCCCATATAAGAGCATAAACCCCATTTTCTAGGCCTATTTCTCACTTTTTCTTAGTCATATTCTATGCTAAGGCTGAAATGGCAATCTATTATTGGTTATACTGGCCTAGGTTTCTCTATGTCTTACATAATGTTAATCGCTTTAGCTGAAATATTTTCTACATCTTTTCTTCTTTTATGAATACAACCTTGTTCAATGGCTTCAGGTCAATGGGAATAACCTAATTATTAATATAGACTAATAGTATGATCTAATATTTGCTACATAACTATGTCAGATTTATGATACATTGTTATACTGATTAAATTCAAGGAAGACATTTTACTCTTAAAGTTTTCCTTTTTCTTTCCTAGATGTCTGTATTCCTTGAATCCCCAGAAGCAATTTTTGAAAGTGCACCTCATTAGACTATCTCTAAAATGTATAACATTCTAGTGTAATATTTGAATATATGGATAAAGCTGCAAAAAAGAAGAGACTACAATACTGAAACAGAGGAACACAGTATTAATAAATGAGTAAGAATTTGCTTTCTTGTTAAAAAAAGGCCAGTGGCCTTGTGGATAGAGGTGAAGCAGGAGGCCAGGCGCTCAGGCAAAAGAGGGCTCGTGCAGGGAATCCCAAGTGCTTCTGTATGGCCATAGTATAACTTTAGGGGCTGGCAGAAGCCAATGAAGAGATTTTGGAGAGACAGTTAGAGGTGGTTCATGCTCCGCTAAGAAAGCTAATTATTAAGCCGAGAGCCCAGAAGCATTAACTCCTGACTACATCCTTGCTGTAGATATCTTCTTAGATCCAAAACAAAGTTATTTAAATATTCAAAATGAGTGAATTCTCCAATATAATATTTTTGAACTCACGCTACACAAAAATATAGTGCCCCTTTTTACTTAATGACAAAATGTTTCCACAAATTTGTGTGTTTGTAAACAGTATTTCTAAAATATAACAGAATATAAAAATTTTAATGACATTTGCTTTTTCAAGAAATGCTGAAGAGAAAATATATTTTCTTTTGGCTTCCCTAGAGTACTCATGTACTTTCACTGGGGTTCAGTATGGGCTAATGCGGACAAAAGTTTAAACAGTCCTGTTCCATTTCATTCTATAACACCTCAGAAATTCTGGCACAGGTAATTTTTCATTTATTCTGCTTACTTTTTATTCAGTGTCTAATCAAGGAACACATGCAGAATTTATCATTTGGAAAGGTTTTTACTTAGTGCTCAATTTAATTTTAGCACTCCAGTGATGTTGGAAAGTCCAAGAAACACTGTCATTAACTTTTAAAAAGCATACCTAGGAGTGCAGTGAGTTTTGGAAGAAGTCCAACTTGTACCATCTTATTCCTCAGTCCTGTGTCAAAGGACAGGTTTAGTAAAAGCCGGAGAGTGATATTCAGTAAATCTTCATGCTCACATGGTATCAGTTTCACCAGTTTTTCAACAATATCCATTTCCACCTATGTGAAATAATAAAATGCAGTGAGGATTTATTGCAAAATAACCCAAAAAAGATTAGAAATAATTGTTTTTGTTTTTATACTAATGTATATCTATTTTAAAGATAATTGTGTGGCAATCTTATATTCCCAGTTGATCTCATTTCAATCTATAAACTTTCCTGCAATCAAACTTTTGAGGAGAAAATGTATGTGCATAGTTCTACATCATCTCTTCTTTCTCTTATTTGATTACATCAACTGGAAGACAAATTACATTTGATCCTTGATAATACTGCATTATTAATCACTACCCTCAATGTACCAGGCTCTGTGCTAGATGAAACAATATCTCAAATTGGTTTCAAGGATTCCAAAGTCTAAAAAGAAGTGGACAAATAGAACAAATAATGGAAATATGATAATAATCCAATACACAAAGTGCTCTGGAAGCAACATGCAAGAAGCTACTAAACTATCTAGAAGCAAAGGCCATTTTAAATTAGGAACAGAGTCTTACAAAGAGAAGAAGAAATTGTTCTTTGGTTAAGAAGGGCAGAGGCAATGCAGGTTCGAAGAAGCAGGTAGTAGATGGGCATTTAAGGATAAAAGACCTGGTTTGGAGAATTACAGGTGCTTTGGTATGATCACAGTGTAAAGTACATGTTGGAGATTCGAAGAAGTTTAAAGGTAGACCTTAGATAGATCATAGAGGTTTTTAATGCTCTGCTAAGGAGTCGAATATCATCCTATAGGTAGCAGAGTGTCCTCAATGATTTAAGTCCAAAGGATGATGTGTTCCTAAGGATGGAACACTCCTGAAATCTAAGTTCTTAGATAGCATCCAAGGGCCTACCTTCTAAGAAGGCCTAGTTAAGACTGAAAGGATCAAACCTCTTTGTTTTCTTTTTGTGCAACTAACCCTCATAAATGGAAAAAAAAAGTCTAGGCCAATAAAGGAAAAATTATTTAAATTTTTGTCATGTTTCATGTGAGATGATATTCAGTGGCTAACTGGAAATCGTGTAATACTCAGGAGAGAAGCTGGGCTACAAGTAATCACTAACACTTTAGAACAGGGATGAGCAGCAGATTATGGCTACTGGGCCTAATGTGGCCTGCCATCTGTGATCATACAACCCATGAGCTAAGAATGGTTTTTGGCTTTCACTTTTTTTTTTCAATATTGGTGATGAAATCCAGGGTCTTGTGCATGGCAGCTAAGCAAGCTGGAAGGTAACTACCACTGATCTACACCCCTAGCCTGTTATAGTTAAATGGTTGAAAAAAATAAGGAAGAATGATATATCTATCATGACACATGAAAATTCTATGAAATTAAATTTTTCCAGAGTTTTATTGAAACAGAGCCATAGCCGTCAGTTTATAGACTGTCTATAGCTGCTTTCACACTATTACAGCAGAGCTGAGTAGTTGTGATAGAGATCATATGACTCGGAAAACTTAAAGTACTATTTGGCCATTAAAGAAAAATGTTTGCTGGCCTCTACACTCTGCTTTTGAACATATAAAGTTGCATCAAGAGGGCCCGTGTTATTAACAGAAGTTACAGAAGGCACTCCCAATTATTTATTTTGTAGTAGAAGCATTACATTCAAATTTTTAAGATAGCAATGAAAAAACATGGTTATAAAAATATCTCATGGTAGCTGAGTGTGGTGACCCACACCTGTAATCCCAACACTGTAGGGTACTGAGGTAGGAGGATCACAAGTCTGAGCCTACCCTGGGCAACTTAGCAAGATGTTATCTCAAAATAAAAAATTAAAAGGGCCTGGGGATTCAAGCCTCAGTACCTCCAAAACAAAACAGAACATCCCCTCATGTTTTTTAGTTATAAACAAGTGCTAAATAAAGGGAGAGAAATTCTATATATTATGTGTGATATAAAACTATGGTAAATCTTCAAATTTAAATGCATTGCACAGTAAAAGACATTGCCATTAATCCCCCTCAAAATACTCATTTCACACATGCTTATCCCATCCTTCTTGCCACTTTATCAGGAAGTTCTGGAAGTCTTCTGCGTCTTTCTTGAGTTGTGATGTCGGGGCTGCCTCAACATGCTGAATTGATTCAAAAGGTTTCCCTTTCATGGTCATTCTGACTTTGGAGAAAGAATCGGAAATCTTATGGGGCCAGGCATGGTGAGCAAGGTGGATGAGGACACACTGTGATGTGTTTATGAGTCTTCTTTTCCACTGGTGGCACTCAGCAGCAGCATTCACTGTAATTTTGATATTGTCTTATTATCTCATTAAGGACACAAAAGAGGACTTCCAGAACTACTTCAAAAAGTGGTAAGACAGATGGGATTAAGTGTGTTCAAAGCGAAGGGTACTATTTTGAAGCAGATTAATGGCAATGTGTTTTGCTTTAATAAGTTTTAAAAATTAAAATATGTACCACTTTTTAACACACCTCCTAAGTTCATAGTATTTGGATCATAACAAAAGATTTCTGAATAATCTTGCTTTATTTTTTCTTTTATTGGAGATCGAAAACATAGTGTCCTCTTCACATCCTTAGTATACCCTTTTACTGACCTCATAAAGGTAACATTAACAATTAAGCCTTTGCTTTCCTTTTTCTTTTCATTGCATACTAGCGAATGAACACAAGTTTTTTTAAAATGCCAAACTGACAAAAATCAACATCTGATTTTTCCTTCAGACGTCTATGAACACTTCACAACTACATGGTAGCCACATCTTAGAGCTCTTCATTAGAGTACAAAGCAATCTCCAAAGACTTCCAAAAATCAAACACAAAACTTAAAAGCTGATTCTAAAATGTAAATGGAGAGGTAAAGAAACACCTAGAATAATTTTGAAAAAGAATAATACTGGAGGCTTTATACTGCTGACATGAAGACTGACTATACAATTCCAGGGATACTGGTGAAAGAAAAATTCATAGATTAACAGAAGATAGAGCCTAGAAATAAAACCACATATATATGGCCAACTGATTTTTAACAAAATTAGAAAGGCAATTTCAATAAGATGCAAAGGCAATTCCATGATGAAAGAAGTCTTTTAACAAACAGTGCTAGAACTGGACTGAAACAGACATCCATACATAACGCCATGAATCTTGATCCATATCTTGTACCACACACCAGCTTCACTCAAAATGGATGGATCACAGACTACAACATCAAAAACCCCTATAAAACTTCTTGAAGAAAGCATAGGAAGAAATAGTTGTGAACTTAAGGCAAAGATTTTAAAAATATGACACCATATTTTAAAATATAATATAGTCCATTAAAAAACTTTTATATCCTGAACTTCAAAATTAAAAACTTTGCTCTTTATAAGACTAGGAGAATGAAAAGACAAGCTTCAGAAAAGGAAAAAATACTTGCAAAACATATAACTAATAAAAGGCTTGTATCTAAAATATAGAAAAAAGTTTTAAAAGTTCTTAGTAAGAAAATAAGCAAACCAAGCAACACATATCCTCTCTGTTGTTCCTCTTAATGTTTTGACTTGTTTTGTTATATTTCAATGATTAACTATGTGAATATAATTATATAAATGAGATATGATTCAATTTAAGCCACTAATTGAAAGATATTTTTAGGTAAATTGCATTTACTCTAAATATATGTCTAAAAAACAAGGTCAGTATTTGCACACATCAAGAGTAAAAAGAATACTTTTCATAAGTAATACTTACAAATAGATCAGCCATCCCCCTACATTTTTCAAAAAAATAAAACAGCCACATGCTTCAGCTGCTACTAATTATATCAGGTAATATTTTTCTTTTGAAAAAGTCATAGCATATGTATACACTGTTAGAACAAGACTTAGTAATAAAATAACTTGGAGGGTTTGTTATTAATTTGTATTCCTACTGCACAGTATGGAATGTGAAGTATGTGTCATTAGTCAATCAACACTAGACCTGTATTTATTTAACACAGCCCATTAGTCATGTCTTTTTGGTTGATTAAAAAGAAAAGCTCATCATCAATGGCTGAATTTAGTAATCGTCTCAATATGCAATAATCTCTACAATTCTATAAAATAGAATTTATAGTTAATTAATATTTTTAAGTGTTTCATGTAAAGTGATCATCAGCAAGTTGTTTTAGTCTTTAATTATATTGTTCATTGTTTGTAGAAGCTAATACTTAAAAGTTATTTATTGTTAATCTTGCTAAAAATGTGTTAAAGAAACAACATAAAAATAAAGACAATCTGTAAGATGTCCTTAAATAAAAAGCATTTCTTTCTTTTTTTTTTTTTTTAGGTGCTGGGGATCAAACTCAGGACCTTGCACTTGAGGGGCAGGAACAGTGGCACTGGGCTAAATCCCTGCCCCGAAAAGCATTTCTTCCATAATAAAAATAAAATCCATACTATCTATGGTAAAAATCTGTATAATCAAACATGTGTCATTAATTTGGATGAATAATCTTTCTGAACCTCAGTTTTTCCTCAATAAGAAATGTTCTGTAAGATGATTATATTGTCCAAACTTATGATCTCATTAAAAATCATTTTAATAATAATCTTGAGATCTTTTTGATAGAAGGAGCATATAAGTGCATTACTTAAATACAAAACTAATCTATACATGGTAAATACATGTTGATTGCAAATATATTTAAATTCTGAGAAAATACTAAAAGTGAAATTAATCTAATTACATAAATAGAAGAACATAGTTTAACGCATTGAGAAATATTTGCTCCCATTTTACTTTTTCTCTCCCCTTTCACACAAAGGTGATAATTCATATATTTTAGTCGATGCAGTAATAAATTAATATTTATATTTTTGGCCATAAAAAATAAATGGTAGAATCAGGGGGCTCTTATGAAGATGGTTAGACTAATTAGCACATCAGATCAAATGTTTAATGGAGGTTTCTGTTTTCGTTTTTTGGGGGTTTTTTCCCATTAAGTTTATTGGTACATTTTTGGTATAAAATACAGTTACAGTCATCATTGGGATCTTGTACTATTACAAAACCCATTCTTTTTTTTTTTTGGTACCGGGGATCGAACTCCGGACCTTGCTCTTGTAAGGTAGGCACTGGAACCACTGAGCTAAATCCCCAGCCTGGACATAGTTTAACTTATACCAAGGGGAAGCAATTACTCAGCCACACCCTAACTGCTTATAAATCTATCTACCTATCATCCCAGTCTCAGCATCATTTTGTTAGATATAAGGTCAAAGAAAACAAAAACATGGTTCTGATTAATCTCTCTTGATACATTCAATCTCACAACAATATAAGACAGGCTGAATATAACTAAATACTAATGATGAAAACGATAGATATTAAATATATAGAGGTAAAATAAAATTTTCTATATTTAAGAATTAGAATTCAAGCACTTATAAATTTGATACATCACTATCAGGTTTTCAATAAGCATATTATGACATTCAATATAACAAGCTACTTCTTAGTTCGATTTTAAAAGAAAAAATAATAGCTATAAGTACTATATATTAATTATTAATCCACCTGAAGGAGAAGTCACTTATACTAATAATACACAGTCACATATAGTTAATACATATAGTTTTAAAAACAGTCCTCAATGGAGTTACAGCCCATAGATCATTTCTAGGAACTACTCTGAGAAAATAATCAGATATATACTCAAAAATGTATGCACAAATATGTATACTAAAGTGCTGCTTATAATAGCTAAAATTATAAAAAACTGAGATGTCTGAAAACAGTGTCGTTACTTATATATCTATTTAGTATGCTACTACACTAACAGAGATGCTTTAATGATATGGAAAAAAAGCAGATAAGAATATTTCTTTTATCTTTAGGGCTAGGGATATACCTCAGTGGGAGAAATCTTGCCAGCATGCATGAGACCCCATTAGTTCACTGCCCTGTACCACCAAAACCAACAACACCTCCTGTAAAAACCCTCACCTTCTATCTTCGTATATTTGTGTATTATGCATATTCTACAGAGGGGAAACACTGTATGCCCAATTTGTATTTCTCAAAGGCAATTATATCTACATAATAGCAAATAGGAGGCCAATGTAACAATCCAAACAACAAATGAAATATAAATACAAAGTAGATGAAATAATGAAATGGCACTAAGAACGGAAAGAAGGGATAGTTTCCAGAGATATTTAAGGAGCAGAATCAAAAGGTTGTAGCTATCAACTGGAATGATAGGTGACAAGATTGGGCTAAACGCTAATCTCATACATTAAAATCAGAAATGAAGGAGGCAAACTAGGAAAAAATAATAGAGTCATATGTCCCTGAAGTACAATTTTCAGATTAAACTACTTTCTATATTTAAAATGGCAAAATCTATTATAAATGGTATGTTAGAAAATATTTTCATTCAGAAAGTTTCAATTATCTTGAATATTAACTAATATGGGATGTATTTCCCAATTAAGCCATTTCAGTGAGTAACTGCTATTATAAAATCTTCAGAATTATTATAATAGGGGTAGTATAAAATGTTTATTTTTAATCAAGATATGCTAGTCAAAAAATGGCTAACATGAACTATTTCAAGAAGGAGCTTTGTAAATTACCATATCATTTTTATTCTCCATAAAAATGCTGAGTTTCTTTAAGAATGTTACAACTAGAACAAGCAGCTCAAAATTGTCCCGATCAAGAGCCTTCACCAACATGTGAACTATATTCTTATTCCTCATCTTCAGTTCTGTACGAGTATCCTCAGCTAGATTCAGAAGCAAATAAAGAGCAACTGGAAAAGTAAAACAGATAAGAGTTAAATGACTGGCATATTGAGTCAACAATCTAAAAAATTACTTCTCATTTATCAGGTTAATTGAAGTAGTTCTAAAAAGATAATGTATTATTTTGAGAAACTTAATTGGTTAGTAATTAGTTCTTGAGAAAACATTAACATTGAATGACGTATAACTATATATTATACAAAACATATATAATACATATATATAAAATAATATTCTTTTGATGATGACAGAGTAACCAAAATAAGACAATGACTCCAACTCTTGCAGCTTAATGCTTCACAGTAATCAACTGGCAATTAAAAGATTTAAGTCAGCAAGTGATAAGAGAAGCAAGGAAAATAACTTTTATGCATATAGAAATATCATAAAACTTCAACAACTAAAGATCGCTGTGTTAAAAGTTACAATCCAAAATACACAGCACAGCTTGAGCTACATTTGAGAATAAAAAATCTAGTTTTCATAATCAAACTGATTTTGTTAAGTCACTGTAACAAAGGTCCCTTTGAAATTCAGTAAGACAACTGTTATACTAGATAAAGGTCAATGTCTATTACTACCATATAGAGTTTGTTTTGAATCTCTGTATTGCCATTGTTTCCTTCTAAGAATTAAAATTAAGCAGTAATATTTTCCTTTTCCTTTGATTGACAGGGATCTTCAGAGTTACAATTAAAAAGTTTCTTTGAAAAAAAAAAGGTTTCTATTAATCTATGTAGAACTACGTAGGTTCTTTGGTGCACAGTCTTATTTACCTCTTATGGCTTTCTACCACACATACTGCAAACCTCATTACTTATGAGGTGGAGTTCTCAAAAGGTCTTTAGCAATAGTGGAGAAAAATTAGATCTAGATTAAATTCTGCTTATGTCCAGACTAACAAATTATTAGTTGAAGATGTAAAAGGACCAAATTCTTTCTACACAGTTCAACTGTGTTCCAAAACGAAGCTCAGGGATATTTATATGAGTAAAAAATATACAACACTCAAGAATGTAAATTTCATGCTCTCTGACAGTCAATCAAAGATTATTGTTATGGATTATATCTCAGTGTCCCCTTAAAGCCTCATGTTGGATCATGGGGACATGATACTCATGAGTGGATTAGTCCACTGATAGGTTCAGAGCTAAATGTGATTCAGGAGGAGAAGCCTGGTTGGAGGAGGTAGGTCACTAGGACATGGCTTCAAAGAGTGTTATCTTCCTCCATCACCCCTGGATCTCTCCATTTCCTGCGGCCAGGAAATGAGCTGTTTCTCCCTTGCCGTGTCTTTCTGTCATGCTGTCCTACCTTGGAACCCGCTGACTATTGAGTAAAACCTCTACAAATTACGAGCCAAAATAAACCTTTCCTCCTTTAACATGTGGGTGTTGGACATTTTGTCCCAGCAATGAGAAAGTAACTAAGACAATTATCAATAATACAAAGAAGCAGGAAAATATAACTTATAGGTAGGAAAATATATCAACCTGTGAAACTGCCCTGGGAACAGATAGAGAGGTTAGAATTATAAAATGGGAAGATTCAAGATTGTATCACTATTCCAGCGCTTCTAGAAGTTAGGTAGGTTAAGAAACAGGAGACAAAAAATATTCACACTTCCTAACAACAGAAACTAAAATGCCTGAGATAATATATCAGGTGCCACTACTAGCAGTTTAAAAATGGAAGAAAAAATTCTGAAATTGAAGTAATAATCATAACCTATCCAAATTATAACCTATCCAAAAATAATCATGAGAAAAAATAATAACAAAAATGTAAGAGGTATGAGAGAACTGTGGAACAACATCAAGTGGCTCAATATATATGTATAATTATAGTTAATTGAAAAAATAACACAAAAATTTCCAAATTTAATGAAAACTATAAACCAAGATTTTTAATAGGCTCACCGAACTGCAAGAGTGAGAAATATGAAGAAAATTATGCAAAGGGATATCATAATGGAACTATTCAAAACAAATGAGAGACAATCTTAAAAGCTACCACAGAAAAACATATAGTGGACCTTCGAGTTACGACCAGCCTCACATATGAACAACTTGGGTTACAACTAGAATTTCAGTTTTAACTTATGACCAAAGTCTTGAGTTACGACCTGAATGCCGGTGGCTTGTGTGGTTGTAAACAAAGACTCATGATGCCAGAAAAGCATATGTAAGTGTACATAAACATCAGTCTGAGCCCAGATGTGCATGTTTGTGGATGTGATTTCGGTCAGTCCTTTACATAATCACTACGATTATTACTATCAAAATGGCCCCCAAAAAGCTAGAAAAGAAGCTAAGGAAGGAAGAGAAGATAATGAAAGCAATCACAATAAAAAAGAAGAAGGAAATTATGGAGAAACATGACAGTAGCATTTATGTGACCCATCTTGGTAATACATATATACAGCATGTTGAAATCCACCATCTCAACAAGCTTACAAAGAAAAGATTATATAAGAAAGTTAGTGTTGCTAAAGGTGTCACTCAAATTAGTAAGTCATGATCAACAGCGTTAGATGAGGTAGAAAGACCATTATTAGTGTGGATAAATGAAAGACAGAGGGCAGGTTATAACCTGAGTCTATAATTTGTGAAAAATTTGTGAAAAAGCTGGGGCTATAAATGCAGATCTCGTGAAGGATAACCCATCAATGAGTGATAATGGTGAAACATTTCATGCCAGTAAGGGGTGGTTTCACAATTTTAAAGCGAGAACTGGGGTTTACAGTATAACTAGGCATGGTGAAGCAGCCAGTGCTGAAAAGGGGCTGCTGAAAATTGCATACACTGCTTTGAAACAATGACACAGAGAAATGGCTTTTGCTCTCATCAAGTTTTCAACTGTGATGAAACTGACCTTTTCTGGAAGAAAATGCCCAAGAGAACATACAATACCCAGGAAGAGAAGAAAATGCCAGGTCACAAGGCTATAAAGGATAGGCTAACCTTGTTGCTATGTGTCAATGCGAGTGGTGACTTCAAGATAAAGCCTCTCTTGGTTTATCACTCTGAGACCCCTAGTGTTCAGAAAACATAAAGTCATGAAGAATAGGCTAGGGTTCTTGTGGAGATCTAACACAAAAGCCTGGGCAACAAGAATATTTTTCCTTGAGTGGATCACGGAGGCTTTCTGTCCTACTGTTAAGAAATATCTAGAGGACAAAGGTTGACCACTCAAGGCTCTTCTCATCATGTACAATGCTCCTGCTCACCCACAAGATTTGGAAGAAGAACTGGCTAAAGAATCCCTATGGCTCTCAGTCAAGTTCCTCCCACCTAATATGACTCCACTACTGCACCCTATGGATCAGCAGGTTATAGCTAACTTTAAGAAGCTATACACCAAGAAACTGTTCCTGAAGTGCTTCTATATGGTCTCAGATACAGATTTAACCCTTAAAGAGTTCTGGAAGGAATATTACAACATCCCGTCCCTGTGTGGGGTTAATTGAGAAATCCTGGGCCAATATCTCTGTAAGGACAATGAGATCTGCCTGGAAGAAAGTGTGGCCTAAAATTATACAGCAGAGAGACACTGAAGGTTGTATAGAGGAGCCTGAGCCTTCAATTGACCTTGTGGTTGATAAAACTGTCACTATAAGTCCACAGGCTTGCAGGTAGACAGTGGTGATGGTGAGGAACTGCTGGAGGAACACTCAGAGGAATTGTCCACAGAGGAACTTCAGCAACTTCAGGCTGAGTAACAGAAAATGGCAGATGAGGAGCTTTCTGAAGAGGAGGGGGAGTATCAACAATCGTGCAGCAAAGTTCTTCTTCTGAAATAAAGGAAGTCCTGAAAAAATGGATAGAGCTACAAACATTTGTAGAGAAGACCCACCCAGAGAGAGAAAAAGCCAATTGTTGCATTCACTTGCTTAATGACAAGGTCATGTCATACTACAGAACAGTGGTAAAGAAAAGACAGAAGCAGAAAACCTTAGACCACTTTTTAGTTCTGAAAAAGGTTGAGAGTTAGTGAGCCAGAGGCAGGTCCTAGTGGGCTACAGACTCTCCCAAGAAGAGAAAGGACACCAGAGAGCGAGAGTCCTGATGTTTTTATGGACGGGACCTCTCCTTCCAAACCATAAGCACCTTCCATTTCATCTTCCCTTCCTGCAAGCCAAAGATATCAACTTGAATGGTGAGTACAGTATGGAATTGTTGTTTCTGGTAAACCAGGCACATTTTATAACTTTTTGGTGAGTACACTAGGAAAATTATTGGTGCTTCTGATAAATTACACACATTATACAACTTTTTTTTTATTATGAAAAGGTTAGTTAAGGGGTGCTTTGGGAGGTTTGGAACACATTGTGGGAATTTCCATTATTTCTTATGGAAAAAATAGTCTCGACTTACAACCAACTTGAGTTACAACCAGCCCCCACTAACAAAATGAATTTGTAAGTCAAGGGTCCACTGTACACAAAGAAAGAGATGACAGAAGGCTTCTCAGCAAAAACAATGTGAGCAAGGCAATAGTAAGGGTAACATCTTTAGAGCTTGGAAAGAAGTTTTTAACCTAGAATTCAAAACCTGGCGAAAATATTTCAAAAAAGAATAAAATCTATTTTAAATGTATAAAAGACAAAATAATATCACCAGTACACTTATCCTAAATGAAATTTTTAAAGAAAGCAAATGATACCAGATAGAAATATGTATCAACACAAAGGAATAAGATCAGTGTAAATGGTAAGTATGCACATGAATACAAAAGATTACTTTCTTATGATTTAAGTACCTTTAAAATAAAACCAGCTGCTTACATAAAAATAGTAACACATTTTGGGGTTTGTAAATATAATAAATATTAATAAATAGCATAAAGGCAGGGAGGGAAAATGGGTCTAACACCAAATGTTAAATGTGATAAAATCACTTCATGGCAGACTTAATTTACATAAGTTAAAGATGTATACTTGAGGGTAGACAAGGTACATTTAAAGACATAAAATATAAACCTTAAAGATTTCAGAACAAAGATTTCATTACCAAGCATAATGAAGATTATTTTATAAAGATAAAGTAATTTAGAATATATTATAATCCTATGTCATTATGTTCCCAAGACAGCTTTAAAATACACGGAACAAAAATAGAAATGTAGAAGAAACCAATAAACCCACAAGTACAAAGATTTTGGTGTTATTCTCTCAATAATTAATAGAAAAAAATCAGCACAATAGAAAATCACCATCAACTATTTCTCACGGACCTTTATGGAAGATCCCACCTAACAGAATGCACATTCAAGTACACATGCAGCCTTTACTAACAAAGAAGTTACTGCAAACCACGAAACAGATCTCGATAAATTTAGGACTGAAGTCATGAAGTGCATTTTGTGTTGGTTTAGATCCGAAACATTTCCCTAAAATCTCATGCATTCATAGGCAAGCTGTAGGAAGGTGACTGGATCATGCGAGTGGATTACTTCATTAACGAGTTCATAGATGAATGTGCTGTTAGGAGGTGCAGCCTAAGAGGTAGGTCACGTGGGGCATGAGCTGGAAGGGTGTGTTTCTGTTCTGTCTCTGACTCTCTGTCTCTCCATCTCTCCCCCTACCCCCGTCTCTCTCTCTGCTTCTTGGCTGCCATGGGTTGTGCAGCTTTCCTCCAACATGTCCTTCCCGCAACAAGAAAGTGTCTAATACACATTTACTGATGATAATAATTAAATTGAATATCAACACAAAGATCTCTGGAAAATCTCCAATTAATTTGGAATCAAAAAAACCTCCTTCTAGTAACTTATAGGTCAGGGAAATTGTGAACTATTTCAACTAAATGAAAAAGAAAAAATGACATATCAAAATCTCTGGGATGCTATCAAGTCAGTGGTTAAAGGAAAACTTATTCCAGTAGCACTAGGTATCTATATTATAGAAGAAAAGTCTTGGATTAATGACCTCAGTTTCCACCTTATAAAACAACAAAGTAACAACAAATTAAAGCCAAAGAAAGAAAATAATAAAGATCAAAGTAGAATCAATAAAACAGGAAAGCATCTATGTAGACAAAATCAATCAATAAAACTATATTGGATGGAATAAACAGCATTGTACAGATTGCTAAACTGCGATCAAAAGTTCATTTTTTAAAAAAAGTGCTTACAACAGCAATAGGAAATATGAAATACTTAGAGATAAATTGGACAAAAGATATGAGAGAACTATAGACTGAAGATAACATAGTATTGGTAGGGGAAATTAAAAGATCTATGTAAATAGAGAAGTATACTCAAACTTTTGAGTCAAAAGACTAAATATTGTTAAGATGTCAATTCTTCTAAAATTGATCTATAGATCTGATCTATAGATCTCATGCAACCTTAAAACCCTACAAATTATTTTTGGTGGAATTTGATAAGTTGATTCTAAAACTTATATCAAAATAAAAAAGAGAATAGCTAAAACAACTTGGGGGGTTGAAGTATTAAACCAACAGGAAGGAATAACAACTGTAAATATGTATGCACCAAATACTGGGGGACCTAAATTCATGAAATAAACAGCTGGACATAAAAGATCAAATGAACACCAACATAATCATAGTGGGTGACCTCAGCATCCCATTTTCACAAAGAGATCAACTAAAGAAAAAATTAACAGTTATCAGAGCTGAAACACACCTTTGAACAAATAGGCTTAACAGATACTTCTACTACTACAACAGCATACGCATTTGTCTTAGCAGCACTATGATATAACACATCATGGTCCATAAGCTTGCTTAAATAAATACTATAATACACGGTGCTGGGAAAACTGGTTATTTACATGCAGAAGTTTAAATTTATACCCATCTTTCTCACCATATACAAAACTAAAAGTAAAATGGATCAAAGATCTAAATATTAAAACAGAAACAATTGGCTGGAAAACAAAATAGGTAAAAGCTCTTAAAGACATTTGTAGGCAATGACTTTCCGAACAGAATCCCAATTGTACAAGAAATAAAACTGAGTATCAACAAATGGATTATCTCAAGCCAAAAAGCTTCTGCATAGCAAAGAAATAACCAACAGAATGAAGACAATCTACAGATGGGAAAAAAATTTTTTTTCGAGCTATACATTGGATAGAGGATTACCATCTAGAATACATAAAGAAATAAAAAAATTAGATCCCCCCCAAATAAAAGACCCAAGCCAAAAAACAGACAAGTGAAATGACTGGACACTTCTCAGAAGTACAAATGGGCAATAAGCAAGGCAAAACAACATTGAGATTCTAACTATTCCAGAAAGAATAGCTATCATCAAGAAATCAAACAACGACAAACCCTAGGGGCTGCAGGGAAAAATAAACCCTTCTGCATTGTTGGTGGGAATGTAAACTAGTAAGACCATTATAGAAATCAGCACTGAGATTTCTGAAAAAACTAAAACTAGAAATTCAGTTCAACCTAGCTATTCCCCTTCTATGTTCCCCCTCCTGGGAGAGTTAAAGACATCATCATTACAGGGATACATGCTTACCTATGATTACTTACAGTAGCACAATTCATAAAGGCTAAGTCTTCAAAATGGCCTATGTCTATCAACAGATAAATGGATAAAGAAAATGTGGTATTTATATACAATGGAGTACTACTGTGTTATAAAGGATAAATTTGAGCCATTTGTAGGAAAATGGATGCACCTTGCGACCACAATACTAAGTGAATTATCCCGGGGATTTAGCTCAGTGGTTCTGGCGCCTGCCTCGCAAGCAAGCACAAGGCCCCAAGTTCGATCCCCAGTACAAAAAAAAACACAAAATCCTCAAAGTTAATTAAATCAGACACACAAGCTTAAATAACAATATAAAAAATGTCAAAGAGCAAAATTTCTAAAAAACCAGGAAATAAGAAGATAGATTTTTTTGGAAATGGGAAGCAGATACTGGAGGGGAGGGAAAGGAGAAGTCAAAAGAATGAGTATGTGTCATGTACATGTATCAACTACTCACAATAAATGTGCTCACTATGTACCACAAATACATGTGAATAAAAAATAAACAATAGGTGAGCTAATTACTCAAGAAATATTTTTGAAAACTATGTAATTAAAAGTGCTAAAAAAGCGTCTAAAAGTATTTTGAAAGTTAGCAAATATTTTCATGCACAAAAATAATCAAATGACCAATGAGCTAAACTAAAAATCCATATCCAAATACAAACCAGGAATAGATGATATAAAACTGAAAAGACATACATCATTCTCTCTGGCCATCATAAAATTTTGCATCTTATCAGTGACTGCAAAAAACACGCTAGTAAAGTCTAATATTCTTCAATAAAGCTTAGGAACAAAGAATTTTTCTATTAAAGAGATTATTTTGAAAACTCATATCACTTTCTCAGAAAACAAATAAATCACTTTATAAAATATGTACACTAACAGTCTTAGAAATAAAGATTCTTTTTGAAAAGGTCACAAACCAAATTAAAATATATGTAAGGGTTAAATGGGGAAAAACAGTAGAATGAAATTTAAAAATTATTAAGGAGAGAAGGGTTCAACATATTAAAATTTATAAAACTTTCATTATTCTGATATTAGCTTACTGGTACAACAAAAAAGGAACAAAATAAATGTATTTAGAGTAAATACTTTGTTGCTTTTCTCACTGCTTAAGAATTCATACCTCTCAATAGCTGTTCTTGTTTTACCACAAGCCCCTGGTACTTTTTAAAGGTTTTTTCATAATCTTTCTTCAAGGTTTGGTTTTCAAGGTCTTCATCAAGTAAAAACTTAAGTTAAGGATCATACATTCTTCCTGAAACCAAAAAGAACTCTATTGAAAATATTATGAAAAATAGCACTACTAAATGTTAAATACAAGTTTATCTAGTTACTTTCTCTAACAATAGGTTCAATAAAATGCTCTTCTCTGAACAGTAATTGTGCTAAAAGGACATCTTAGCCAAGGGTTCAAAATTTTCTTGGATTCCTAATCCTTGGCTGAGGAAATATTTGAACTTCATCAAATACTTGAATTCCTACTACCCAAGAAATTAAGGGTTGGGGATTTAGCTCAGTGCCACTGTGCCTGCCTGGCAAGCACAAGGTCCTGAGTTTGATCTCCAGTACTGCCAAAAAAAAAAAAAAAAAAATCCAAGAAATTGCATGCACATATTTCATTTAAATTGCCAAGTCTACAACTTTCAACAGATTATTAAGTGGGTCCATGCAAAAAGTATTGCTTTATAGGGAGTGATTTAATTACTAAGAATACTGGATTCCACTTCAGAGATTCCCAGAATATTCAAAGGATGAAGATTAAATGTAAAGCTTTTTAGCACCCTCTTCAGATCACAGACACCAAGAGAAAAATATTCCAAAGAATAAGGTCTACTTTTTTTGTTTGTTTTACAAAGGAATGTTAAGAAATGTATAATGCTGTGCCCAACAGGAATGATGTTTTCATTTTTCAAAAGACATGAGAAAACACTGAGTTCAAAGGAATTATCATGGCTTGTTGATCTGTAAAACATATCACCTTAGGACAGATACAAATAAAATAGGACTTCTGGCCTAGAAGAACCATATTATAATAGGCAATATGATATCTTCAAATACTAGGAAAATTGTAATGTTGGAAAGAATATCTTTGTTCTATATTACTTCTGTATATACGACTACAACCAAGGAATATAAGTTAGTGGTTAAGCAAAGGAATATTATAATAAATAGAATTTCAAAAACAGGAGGAGTTAAAACAATAGAAAGTAATACTGTTAAAGAATGGACTATGTAACTCTGTCAGGGAAAATACAAAGATTTATATTGCAAGATAGTTTAAACATTATTTCTAAGGTTCCTTTCCCAGGTTCCATCATTCTATAGGCCTCTCAAAATTGTACAGTGGTGACTCAGTTCATGAGCTCAATTCTCTCCACAATTCTGGTTGTAAACCAATCTGGATAAAAACCAAATCAAATTTCCTCATAAGGTCAACATTGAACTTAACCAGTGAATTTGATTTGGTTTTCGTCCAACTCAGTTTGTGACCAGAATCATGGAAAGAATCAAGTTCAGGATTGGTACCAAGCTATCACTGCATTTGTTAAGAAGAGTATGTTTTTGTTTGTTTTGGTACTGAGGATCGAATTCAGGTTCTTGCACTTGCAGTGCAGGCGACGCAGGCGCTGGAACCACTGAGCTAGATCCCCAGCCCAAGAAGAGTATTTTTACACTTAACTAAATAAATCATAAAAACAGAACTTTAAACTAGCTTCTTCACAAAATTTACCTCCATTCCCATCAAAATCACTGAGAGAGAAGGGCATAAACAACAACGGTGAGCCACACTTCCACTAAGTAGACCTTACAGGACACAGTGGTGTGGCCAGCTTGTTGGAAAATCACCTGTACCATTATCCAGCACCATTTGTGGCTTCTTCCTTCTATCTCATGAGTAATAAAGTTGGGGAGAAACAAAAGTTAAAATGCCAAACTCTATTCTCACACTTTCAATGTTCATCTTTTTTTTTTTTTTTTTTTTTTTTTTGGTACCGGGGATCGAAATCGGGACCTTGCACTTGTGAGGTAGGCGGTGGCACCACTGAGCTAAATCCCTGGCCCAGTTTCAATGTCATCTTAACCTTCAATATAATCTTGCATGGTTTTCAAGTAATAAAATTAGTAATATTTTAAAAAACCCCAATAACTTATCCAAAATTTATAGTAGGAGGCAAAGTCTGGGTCAAGATGGCACCCTAAAAGGATATCGGCCTTCTTCTTCTTAGAAAGTTCTTCTTGCCAAAGCTCGTGTCTTTTTAACTCATGATCAATGATATTCATACACAGAGCTCCAATTTTATAGTGAGTGATTACTCCGTGAAATTGAGAAAAGCTGGAAAAAACAGATTTTAATATTATTTAAATACTGGTATAGGAAATTTGATTTTGGCAAATATTGGTACAAACAACATAGGAAATAAATTGGACATATACATTCCAATAAATGAATATATCCACAGTATACTCAGAATATTTGAAATCTTAACATTACTTTAAATAGATTTTAACATGATATTCTTACTTTAAATATATTTTTGAGACAGGATCTCACTATGTAGCCCAGACTCACTTTGAACTCACATTCTTCCTGCCTCAGCCTCCCACAGGCTGGGATCACAGGAATGGACTACCTTACACAGTTTAAATATAATTATTTTTAAGAAGTTGGAAATGAAACACATTTTATAAATAACCATATTAACCATTCAAAATATTCTGAGACTTTTCAGACTATTATTTAATAAAATAACTATATTAGTCAAAGCTGATATTATATATATTATACAAAATAGTATATGTTATTATAAATAGGATATTACTTAGCCATACAAAAAGAATAAAATCCTATCATTTGAGGGAACATGAGTGGAACATTACATTAGGCATAGAAAGACAGGTACATGTCCTTGCTTATAGGTAGAAGCTAAAACAATTGATTACATAGAAGTAGAGACTAGTATAGTGGTCACTAGAGGCTGGCAAGGCTTGAGGGGAAAGGTACAAGGTTGAATAACAGGTACCAAAATACATGTACATAGGAAGAATAATTTCCAATGTTCTACAGCACAATAGGATGGCTACAGTTTATAGTTTAGAATACACTTTATAAAGAACTAAGAGAGGAATTCAAAGGTTCTCAACTCAAAGAAATGATAAATGTTTAAGGCAACAGAAATGTTAATTACCATGACTGATCATTACACACTGTATACAAGTATTGAGGAATTATTACACTATAACCCCTAAATATACAGAATAAAAATGAAATTAAAATACAGCTGAAAGTAAAACAACACATATAAACCATAAGTACAATGTACAATGTATATACACTTGTATTTGCACCTACAAGTGTATATACACCAATAACAATTAGTATTTTATTCTGGGTCAGGCTTTATTCTAAGTATTTTAATTCTTAATTACTTAATCTAAAATTACTAAGCATTCAATCTTTCACTCTGAAGACAGTGTTACTCTTATGATCCAAATTTTACACAGGAAGAAAACAAGGCACAGAGAAGTGACCCAAGACCACACAGTTAATAAGCAACAAGGCTTGGATTCAAATCAAGACAGTCTACTTCTACAGCCCACATTTTAAAATGCTAAGCCACTACACTAACCCATCATGCATGTGTGCACGTGCATATGCACGGGTGAGTGGAGACTGAATGATGGGGTCACCGAGAGCAGACAGAGAATGGGAATCAGACAAAAATAAGAGTTCAGAAGCACAGCACAAGCAAAGAAAGAAAGACTGGACCAATGATCTACAAACTGACAGCAACAGACAGACTACTTTTATTTTATAATTTTTATACTTACCTGGAAAAGCAAAAAAAGATATAAATAATGTTTGTAGCTAACTCAACACTTTGCTTCCAGTCTTCTCTCAGGACTCTTGCTAGTGCACCAAGGGCAGTTTCTATAGAAAAAGCCAACGTAAGAAATGATCATTTGCTCTGACTCTGGTATAAAAGGTGACTGGTTTTAAATGTCTACTTATTAATAAATAACAAAGCTAAGATAGAACTAGGACAAAAAAGTAGGATGCTTCTTTCCAATACAGAAAGCTGTTTTTAAAACTAAAATATTACTTTTGCTTAAAACATGTCTAAACTGTAAACAAACATAATTTAGGTAAAATAACAGAATACTTATACTGGCCACTCTTCATTTGATGTGTATTTCTACTTGGAATTTTACTACAATAGTACTGATGTTTTTCTTTTTTAACACCTGATTTAAGGTATAAGAAAAAAAATAGAATAAATCTAGAAAAAATTTTCATTTTATTTGTTTAGAAGACTTATACCTGTTCCACTAAAATAAGTTGACCAAATAAAACTTATACACAAAAATAAATCTATTACTTCAGTAACACACACCAATAGATGTAAGACAAAAGGTCTTCCAAAAAACTATCTCCCAGGCATATTAATAAGCTTCACTGTTAGATTTATCTACAGAGGAAGGTAAAAATAATAAATTAATCAAAATTGTCATACATTAAATATAATGATATTAATTTTAAATTGGACTTGTCCCATGGTTTATCAATTCTTAAAAGTACTGAAATAATATATGTGCATGTTAAATGTAGAAATTATTTCAATTGTCTTTAAGTACCAAGAATCAACTATATTTAATAAGCTGTATTATTAGTACCTATTATGGTTATAAAATACTCAGTTTATTTCTGGCTAGATTATTAAACAAGAATTAACTATTAGTTATTAATACACTTAGTAGATTTTAGCAAACTAAAAAACACCCTGTAACAGTATTTCACAGTATTATCCACATTCACAATGTAGAGCCCTAGAACAGTATATACTTTGAATAGAAGGCAATGTTTGTTAACACATAAAATCTCCATAAAGTCCTACTTAATAAGAATCTGGTTTAGCACTGTTCAATCAAGTAATTCCCAAAAGGCCTCTAACCATTATAATGTAGACAAAATAATACTTCTTAATACATTTTAGAAATACTACTTTCTTATATTGTCATGAATGTAGGGCTAGGTTTCGTGACCAATTTTATTTCATTTTCTTTTATAAAAGTATCTTAATAAAAATATAGCTACAAGATGCTCCTAGGCCAGAGAAGGTGAGCTGATCCCAGCACCCGGAAGGAAGCTCCCCTGCCACCAACTCATGCTCCTAGGCAGAGAAGCTGAGCCGGTCCCAGCACCCGGAAGGAAGCTCCCCCGCGGCCATCCCAAGCTCCTACGGCAGAGAAGCTGAGCTGCGCAGGCGCCAGAAGCACCCCCCACCCAGGGAAATGAGAAGACGCATAAACAAGCCTCAAAAACAGACTTTCGGATCACCTACAGCAACCCCAAAGGGAAACGAGATGTAACAATCTGATACTCAACCACCTGGA